GGTAGCGGTAGCGTAGTGGTAAGCGCTCCGAGGCAGCCTTTGAAGAGCACGATTGGTCTCCCTTGCTTTTTGAGGGTTACGGGTTCGATTCCCGTCGCCGGCACCACATTTACCACAACAATGGAATTCGTTCCCACAATAGTTACCCAACCCTCCCTCTTATGGCAAGGTGGCGAGGAAGAGAAACAATCAGAGGCCCAGGCGAGGCTCCAAGTTCGTCAGGAAAGAAATAGTTTACACTGAACAAAATGTACTTTTAGAGATAGATACATAGCGGATACCTGCATATCGCCGTAGGCGAGGGGTCAGCGTATGAATACACACACACACACACACACAGATATAAACGCTCCGGTAGAAAGCCAGTGCGTACGCCCTCTACCAAGGTGCTCTGGCTGTAATATTATAGGGCATAAAATTAATCAATGTTCTAATCGTCGGATTATTTAGGACGCGTGGAATTCGGGAGGGGTGGAACGCTCGATTACGTGGAACGCCCGCTTTCCGAATACGTTATAACTACGCCTGGACCCGGCTTACTAAGTCGTCCTGATTCAGGGCCACTCTCCTAATCTACATTGATTTGGTGGAAGCCTTGACGAGGGTCTTTGTCATACCCACTCTGCGCGACGAGTAATTGCTTCAGCGAGTGTCGCCACAGCCGTAAGTAAGATAATCATTGGAGCCAAAAGAAATGAAAAGGACAGGGTCGCTGTCTTGAAGGGAGATGGGATCTGGGTTCAGTCCGAAGCAGACCTCAACGAATCGTGATTGGAGTGGGGATATACTGACCCCTTCGTGGTCTCCGTCTCACGTTAGCGTGTTTGCTGCCCTGAAGTGGGGCCTCACTCCGTGGATCATAACAGGTGGGGAATAGTGACAGCGCTGAGAAGCGCTGAGGAGCACTGAGGATCGCCCGGAGGCTTCTTCACTGCGGGTTTCGTATCCACTCAGGCCCTCATAGTTGCCATTTTAAGTTAGCGTGTCCAATGGCATTGCCGTATTGGGTTTACTATCTTTTCTTTGATCAAAGAAGCCGCAGCCCTAAGATACTCCTTCCGAGTTGTATTGCCGCAAAGGTAGATATCCATGCCACTCAAACAGTGATTTCTATATTATTTCGCGTGGCTCCAGTTTACAAATATCGTTCAGCAGCGTGTCAAAGACCGGGCAGTGTAAGGAACGGCTACATGGGAGAAGGTGATGGAAATATATAAAGCCCATCGTTCCCGCCGGTCTATCTGGAAACCAGTCTTTTCTCTCCTCATAAATTTTATGCTAGCTCGACGCTTAGTGGTCTATCTGAACCTCAAAAGGCTTTCCAATTTCCATATTATTTTCGCATTATTGTGTTGTGTTGCATTCCTCCACAAAGGTGACATTATCATTGTGTGATCGTTTATTCCTCCCTTTGTTCCGCTGTTGGTTCCTATGATAGTTTTTCTCTCTTTGTACCGACTGCCAACGTGTTAGATTCTTCGTGTACCGTATAGTGTATTAATTGTGTTTTTATCTAACCATGTCATGCTTTATTCCATATGTTGCCTTCCTGTTCCTGGCTTAGGCCTGTTGTCAAGTTGAAACACCCTCTTTCTTTATCGACCGCCCGGCAGGTCTCGAGTGCCGGCCCATCTTGCAAAACATCAAGTCGGTTGCCACCAGCCCTGTAGCCAGTTACCATGCTACTGTACCGCGTCCTGCTGAACTGCCCCATGACGCAAAGAAGCAATATCTGGCCAATTGCTGCTTGTTGGATGTCCCTGCTGATGCGTAGTACGAGTAACTGTGACTGCAACCATGCCATGTCATGCTGGATTGGAAGGGGGCCAGAAGGGTATAAAAAGAGTCCAGTCCCCGAGTCCGAGATAAACTAGCATGCAACTTCCACTTTCCACATCTGAGGGCTGCTTCCCACATCACCTTGTACCTCGATAATGACAATCTCGACCCGTGAATGGCGAAAAGGTTTCGGACACAAATGTCGAACCTCCATTAAAAGGCCGCAAGACTATTCTATGCTGGGTTCCGCAAGTCGGCCCATCCTCATTGATTGCGAGGATGACAGGGCCAGTCGACCGGATGACGCGGATGGTGATACCATCCCAGAAACCTAGCCATCGCTCACTGAGCTCTGTCTGCTATGAAGCCAGATAATTTGACTTTAGGACATTCCGAGTCAGCTGCACCAACTTCTTTGACGGGAGGGTCTCCATCCTATGGCGAGATGGCGGTGCAGCGATCAACCCACTGTGAATGCACCCCAACAGTTTCCTCGTTTGTGGAGGACCCGGAGAGCGCCGTACAGAACACACGCTTAGGTATTTTGGGCCATGCTCTATGATGGACGAAAAGCTGACAAGGTCTAGGGCGTGCAACAGAGAGTGGAGGAAAAGTGGCGTCTGACGGGGAGCATATCCATGGTCGCTCTAATTGTAACGATAGCATGGCATTCCCATCAGCTAAACAAAACAGTAACTGGGCTCCAGAGACAGGTGTGTTATATGTTCACTATTAGTATTGTTCCGCTGGCTGAACGAGTACACCAGGCACCTTATTCGATTGCTCTGGCTCAATGCCCTGCAGCCACCAGGCAGCCAAGTCGATTCTGCGACGAGCGTCCTTACACACCGGTCAACTCAAGAGGGTGACTTGGAGTTTCTTTGTCTCAAAGTGGAGCGGCATTCCTACTCCAAATTGAAACGGCGTGCTCCACAGCTGCTCACTCACTATGTCCATCATGCCAGCTCCCAAAATAGTCCCAGAGTACGTAAACGACGGGCAGTTTCGGAAGTGCCCCTAATGTCAAAGCATCCAAAGAGAGTTAGGGAGCAGTAGGTCAGGTCACATTGTGTCTCTTGACATTTCTGTATGGCCAACTCGATTTATTCAACTTGATTGTCTTATAAATTTGAATCCAAGCTTTGGGAATGGCAGGTTCCTCGACACATGCAGTTATTGGCCAATACGAAGCCGCTTGCGCCCGTGTACCTCGGCCCCACACGAGTGCTGCTCTCGTAACCTCATTCGCTTTTTCATCGGCCGGCTATCCAATTGGGAACGATGAAAGTCAATGATCAACACTCGCTCTAGCTCGGCGTTCCACAGCATATTATCCAACCGAAGGTCCTGGTGTAAGACCCCAAGTGAGCGAATCTTCTTCTGTGATCGCGAAATTTCATGTCTGATCGCCTCAACATCTTCCAAATTGTGGATGGGTTCACCGCCCCAACCCATCAGGAGCATATGGCGGATCTGGCCAGCCCCGTGCAGGAAGTAGATCATGGCCAGGTCGATTGTGCCGAGAAAGACCGGAACGGCTCGCCCTTGGGCTCGCCACAGGATACGATAAATATCCGCCTCTCGCTTGACCTCATTCCACAGGTAAGACGTCGTTCCTTTCCCGACGACCGTATACCCATACGCGGTGCACGTGATTTTGAAGGGCGCTCCCGATGCTCCACAGCCTCCCATGGGGGTGCAGTCGACGTCGAGATTTTGGTCCAGTTGCTGCTTAATCCGCCGAACCAGACCGCTGGCGTCAATCAAGTGTTGGTTGCTGGTACCGCCCTGTCGATGGAGCTCGACATTCGGGCAGCAGTCATCCAGCGTGCCCCCTCGCTGCAGGCCCAGCAGACATCGCTGGGTACAAAATTGAGCGTTGTGTTGGTACCGACCGCGTTCGTTCGGACGGGCGCCCGTCTGACGGGCTGATCGCTGCACCGATGGAGATGATGGAGATGACGTAACCTGGCTGAAGCCACGCTTCCGCCCGCCGGGAGCGGAGTCCGTATCCGAGTCTGGAGAATCCTCACGCTCCATGGTATTCGGCGCACACTGGGTTCGAGACCGGGTCGGTATTCGACGTCGTTGCGTAGGAGATTCCACCGGAGAGGATGACGGGAGGTATTCGGAGACCGTCCGTCCGGAACTCACCGAGGGACTATATTCGGAGCTCGGTGGGTTTTGTCGTAATTCTCTTTCCGGGATTTGGGAGCGGGTATGATCGAAACTCGTCTTCCAGACCGGCAGCTGCTTCTGTGCCTCATTTCGCCAGGTCTGGTTGCGGATCGGCGCGCCAAAGCTCAGCAAACACAGGCACAATACCCGCGCAATGGCAGTCAACGGCTGATCAAAGCTCTGATCATCATTCAGATCGATTTCCATGTTTGGCTCACACAGGTGGTAGTACAACGTGCCCGGCTCATCGTAAGGGACACGTAACAGAACCAATGCCAATCCGTTCGTCAAATATGAGTACTCGAGACCTTCCTGGATCATGACATGGAACTCTTGAGTTATAGCCGATCCGGTCAGCCAGGCTGCATTATACGACAATTTCGCGGATTCCTCCGTGGGTATGGAATTGGGCCGGACCACCTCTTCCCAAAAGTTCATCTCTCGCAAGCCGGCGCGCAGGTTCTCGACGGACAGCTTATGAGGCGGCTTATACTCGACTGTGGTAAGAAGCGTATTTCTCTCACCGTCAACGCGGCGGATGCAAAATTGATCTGGTCTAGAACGCCGGTACGCCGAAGGTTCAGTCGGTAAGGAGGGGTCAGTCTCAGTTTGATCGAGGGCGTTTGCATGATTGTCAAACTTGACCCCATCGCCCAAGCGAAATTGGTCTCGGGCAGCAGGGTTCTTGCAGAGTTCAGCGATAATTTCATGAACGTGATCCTCCACACCAAATCGTTCATAGCTCTCCAGATCCTGCTCGCTGCTGATTGGCCATCTACAGAGACGTTTCCCCAAGCCTTCCAGTTCAAGGAGCGGTGAAAATAGTTGCGAAGCGGTCCCCCCTGAAGGCTCCAGATAGGCGCAAACAGAGCGGTAAATCTCCTGTTGTCTGGCAGCACACTCTTCCCAATGCCGAAGCCGCAACGGACAATGTTTCCCGGTCGGCGGGGGTATTTTCCCAGTCGTAGAGCGAGACGGGGTTTCAGCTCGTAGCTGCAGCGAGAAAAAGGTGTGGCACAGGCGAAGGAGCTCGAGAAAGGTCGTTGGCCGTGTTTGTTCTCGTCCTTGGTCCCGCTCTTCCTCCGCCTTCTTTTGGTTCTCTTCCGCTCGTCTTCGTTCTTCCTCTGCCTTTCTTTTGTCTTCCTCCGCCCTCAGATAAAGCGCCTTATAATCTGGAGAGCTGGAACTATCCATCTATTCGATAAGTCGTGGACATAAACAGAATCGACGCGGGTTATTGCGACAAGAACCTAGAACAAACGGGATGTCAACAAACAGGATCGACTGGAGAAGTCTGGCTTGGAGTCGGCAAGGGGTCAATATGAGGGAAGTTAAGAGACATAAAACAACATATTCTGGCTCAATATTTTCCTACAGCATCAACTAATTTGTAGAGGCGGAATCTTCCGGGGCATTTGTTTAGATGGGAACGAAGGAAAGGTGATAAACTGTTCCGGGAGAAAGGGCTGATAAGCCTCACCTATCACGTGATATAATCATCATGTGGACCAACTTATGTGGAGACACGTATTATTATTAGTTGTACATTGGCCGTGCCAAGGATTGATCCATGACCCACGCTAACCTTCAATAGGTCCCCAACCGATAAAAACATTATCAATCGATAGGTACATTTGAGAGAGGGAAGAAGAACCCCCAGATCAAAGTTTTAACATGTTTCCAGATCGAGTCCGGCACATTTTGCTCCTGGCGTTCCCACAAGATAACCAGAACGTCCCAACGAATTAAATAACAAAATTAACTAATGCCCAATAGAATTATACATATAACACCGCGAGTTGCAGTTCGGTTTGATACCAGTCATTACCACTGGTAGTTGGATACTCTGAATAGTTCAGTCGGTGTTTGTGGACCAGTTTGATGATTGTCGTGGGAGTAGGCTTAAGTACAACCTGGCCACCAGGATGGAAGGAAACCGAAAGGTTTGTTTGGAAGGGTCAAAAGATAGACCCTGCCACGGAATGGAGAGTTATCCACGTGATAATGTCATGTGGAGAGACTAAATACGGAAGTTCATTGACCCAGACAGCTTGTATTGGCTTTCGTTGCTTCTTTCTCGGCTGAGCCCCTCTTCTAATACATTCATGAAGCCTCTCCCGAAAGCTGCAATTGATCCTAAGCTTGTTGAGTTTACACCTTTTTCCCGTGGCTTCCATCATTCAAACTACCCAGCCTCATCTTCCAGCACCATACCATACCCTGCACCCCATCCGCCAACACTGGACTTAGACTGAGCAGTTCTGTGTCACTGTTGCAAAAGCCTCAAGGATAGTCTCCTTGTGGTTTCCAAACATTTTATACTTGTCGCGTCGCACCTCATCCTCTGTTGCCCATGCAAAATCTTGGTGCTCCTTAGGATTCAGTTGTATTACGTCCTTCCATTTTAGTGGCCGCCCTGACCCACCTTGCCTATTTTCGTGGGATATGGAAGGTTCGAGCTCGGAGACCCCAATGATGTATGGAAGGCCAACCCATTCGTGCTGTTCGCCTTCCTTAGATCGCGTCCAGGTCTGAATCGGGAGGGCGTCAATGACTCGGGACAGTTGCAGGCCGGTCTCTTCCCGAACCTCTCGCTCTAGGGCATCTCGCGGTGTTTTGTCCTGTTCTTCGCAACTCCCAGCGGGTACCTCCCAAAATCCAGGTTTGCTATCGCAAAGAGCGCGTTGAATAAGAAGGATGCAAGGTTCTGGCAAGTCCCACAAGAATATATGGGCACTAACTCTGATACAGCAGGCGGTGTCGTGGAATCTAAGTTGATGAGACGATTCTGTGACGCGAAACGCCGATAGGTCCGTGTCGCACTCAAGACCGAATAATAACCGCTTCACGTTGCGCACTGCGGCAGAAGGATCATGCTTGTACTGCAAAAGATATCTCTGTAACTCCGCAGCTGTGAACCGGCCCGAAGGGATTTCGCTGGCGAACGCAGTGGATAAGTTATCAATATCTTCCAGCCTCCAATCAGGGTTGGCTGGTATGGATAATGGTGTGATCTCCATAAAATCAGTCTTGGTAGGTTGCAAATAAACCATGAGAAAAATCTGCCGAGCTTCTTGCCGTTGGACGGGACCCATGTTGATTTTCATGTCCACACGCCCTGGGCGCAGGAGAGCAGGATCCAGCCGCTCGGGGTGGTTGGTGGTCATGATCAAAAGGCGATTCTCTTGCGCAGCTACACCGTCAATAGCGTTCAAGACGGCGGAAAGGGTGACACTCCCAGCTGACCACAGGTTACGGCCGACTCCATTGTGATCTGGCTTTCCGCTCGGGGGACTATCGCTGCTGCGCTTCTTGATGCCGGCTTCGTCGATGTCTTCCAGGAGAACAATGCAATGGGTTGGTAGGTCTCGGAACAAAGTAGCCAATATGGTCTCATCAAGGCCAACTGCACTTAGGCTGAGCGCGTATATATCCAAATACGAAGAGCTGGCAAGTGCTAGTGACAGGCTTGACTTGCCGGTACCCGGTGGACCGTGAATGAGATAGCCTCGTCGATACGGTAGCCCGCGGGGCCTGTACCAGTCATAGGTCCTGGGATTTAGAAATTCCTTGAGATCTTCAACAACAGCCCTCTTCTTGCCTTGATCCAAGGCCACAGTCGATAAGAATCGGGGCTGTTTAGATGCCACTTGCATCCATTGGAAACTGGACCCCACCTTGAACCCCTCGTACACAGCGACTTGTTTGGGATCTCCGTTAACAGGGGTCTTATGAATCTCATTTATGAGATCATCGAGAACGTGTCTTTTCCACGGCACTGCATAAAAATAGAGCCTCTCCATATTCGCAAACCAGGGGCTCCCTGTTTCCTTATACGGTTGACGATACAATGCAACCCAAGAGCCTTTGTACGTGAAAAAATGGATTTTATCCTGCGAAGGTGTACACCGGAGTGTACCGAGATGGTGACGACACTTTCTTTTATACAAAAATTCCCTTGGGTTCTGGTTATATAATTGGTTATCCGTGGGAACGTCTTTCTCATCATCGGCCTTGCCATCCTCACCATCCCATGGCGTGGACAGACTTGACCTTGTACCTGCTACCAGCTGACGGGTCCGATTCAAAGCTGGTTGGAGGGATATCCAGCGCATGGCGCTCGGATACAACTTGTTATGGCTCCATATCTCAGTTGACGTTGCAAAATATAGGAAGAGAAAAATAGTTCGGTTCCAACATGCTGGGAGAGCGAAGGACAAAAAGGCCAGGACTGCCACAGAGATACCTAGGTGAGATGAGATATCGATATCGAAAAAGAGAGAAACCAAATGAGAAAAGAAACCAAAGCCCGGAATCAGATCCTCGATCACTGATGGCAGCATGCCAGAGGGCAGACTCGTGGAGTTGCCGCCGGAAGTCATTTGAACTTGAATTTGATGGTTTTAGTACTCGTTCTTGGGGGAAAGCTCTAGCCCTCTTTATACAATCTACCCTGGGTCAAACAACCGCCCTGATTTTGGTGATACGAGGCACGCCCGGGGCATGTGTTGGAGACAGCCGGCGAAGTAATTCCTGATCTAGGAATATGACAGTACATCGACTGCGCGGTCTTTTTCTGGTGTGGCGTCATTGGTGGGGAGAAAAAAGAATGAAAGAACAAAAAGGGAAGGAGTTCATGCCTCCAACGAATGAGAATAATCTCAAATACTACGGTGACAATTAAATTTCCAATAAAGCAAATTGTGCTCTGACAGTGGCGGATTAGAGTTCTGGCTTGCCTCAAGTGGAGGTAGGACGAGAAGACTAGTACTTTTGATCGGAACACCAGTTTATATCTATATCAAGCCCTGGATGTGCTTGAGCTACAGCCTGATAATAGACATTCTTTCGGTGGACTGAGACCCTACTCGAACGTTTTGGTTCTGGCATTATTCCCGTTTATCTACCCTAGCTATGGTTGGTTACTGGCCGGACAACATTGCACGATGCTTGCTAACATTAACCGAAGGTTGTTCTACATAGAGAGGTCTTTCCACATCGGGACTTCCTTCTCCCTCCAGCACAGTCAGCCTTGAAAGCTCTAAATATACGGTATCTTCGTCCAGATGTCAGGGATCTCCTGGATGTAGAGGGGAACGACATCAATGAACAGTTAGACGAAGATGCCCGAGACATCTCGGATTGTCTTACAGACGATGTTCTGTTCCTGTTGTCGCTCCTTACTTGGCATTTTAGGTCGAGGGTAGGCCTCTTGCGATTCTTCGGGCGAACTTCGGACGACGAACTGGATTTGAAGATTCTCCAAGACCAGTACAATCGGCGAGTAGGACCGGGAGACTTCAAGAGTATATTGATGGCCTTCGTACACTGGTTTGAAGAGGGATTGTTGACCTATGGGGGGCGTGGAATTGTAGACTTGAGGGCAATCTGTGCATAGGCATTGCAGACCAATTCGTGTTGATGGATGATCGGTCGGTAACTTATTTTTTGGAGAGATCGCTTGAGTGGCTTACATGACCATGAAACAGGATAGGACAAATAGTACGTGATTCCTTGTCTCTTGTGGGGCTAGCACTACCATTCCACTCGTCCTTTTGCAAAAATAGCACCTTAGGACACTAAATCCATGACCCACATCCAATGATCGACTTGGCCATTTACAGCCATTGCCCCACTCAAACTCTCCAAGAGAATTACTCAATAGATTGTTCACCGACTGCTTGCTGATCGTGGGCTGGTTTTTGACAGTCATTAGCCAGGGACGTTTAGTGTATTGCACTCCAGCACTTACAAGACGCTATATCGGGGCGCAAAAGATATCCGTTGCTCACATACTTTGCAACAAAGTTTTTTCTATTGCGTCCCAAATTCGGTCTAATATGATAGCGCAGTGGGTGCACAGGACAGTCTCGGGTATACTGTACAATTACTCCAGCTTATTCACGGGCTCAACCTGGGTTCTGAGTTGACCAGCCTGAGTCTCATCCAGAGCCTCTATTAAATCCAATATGACTAGGGATCTCTCTGAGGCGTCACTAAGACATACTCTCTGTAACTTCATAGCGGCTTCTCGACACCTTTGGTGGGCGAGCCACCGTCGAGCTCCCCTAGGGTGCTGGCTGTCTGTAGCAAGATGGCATTTGTTATGATAGTTTCACTATGAAGAACTGAAAACGGAAACTTGCCTGTGGTAGACGATTTGTTGTTCCACTGAGAGCTCTCGTAGGAAGACATATTAAATTGGGCGTAAATGATAGTGAGATTGATTTGAGGCCTGTGATTTATTTAATGTCGTGCGCAGCCTTATTGAGGGAGATAGGAGTACTATATAAATAGGCCGAGTGTAGTGAAGGGTCTTTATGCAATACTAATTAGTAAGAATGGTACTGGTGTCATGCCAGAACTTACATGAAGCTACAACAACTATGCCTTATACCTGGATAGTTATGCGCGCAGACCTCATATGCAATGTCTTTCAAATCAGGACAGGTATAATGCACCGCGTATAATTTAGAGTCCCGAGCAACTAGGTTTTTGTCCTCAACCCATGCTAGTTTGGCGTCGTCGTCCCGCTTAGAGTGGCTCCGTTTAAGGAAATTGAAGTGATCAAGGGTTAGACTAGCGTTGCCTCCATTGTAATAGAACGTTAGAACGGAGTGCCGCTTGCAGCGGCTGGAGGAAAGATAGGAAACCCGAACAGAGGTTACCTTGGGGGAAAGATTACGACAGAGCGCGAAATCGTGGGTGTCCATGTTCGAAGGGTTGATGAGGAAAAACATGATTACCAAAAACGAAGACTATATATTCTTATAAATAACAGATGCGGTTAATTTTATTCTTGTTTAGACTAACATGCGCCTATACTAGGCAAAATGATAAGCAAGATACTTGTTTTGCAGCAATCTGCGTTACTCACGCAACTTCAACTCTCTTAGCCCATTTATTCAATTTTGGTTGTCTCTCAATTGAGCGGGTAATCATCGCATCGTACTCTGGTTTTGCCTGGGTATTCTTCCAAAAAATATCGAGCATTGCCCGCATGTTGGTTGAGAAGGATCGCGACATACTGGGAGTTGGTGATTGCTGTTGGATTTTGGATGATAGTAATGGTGAGAGTGAGAATGGACTGTTGTATATGGATATGAGGCAAATGGAATGATGGAGATGTTCTCGTTGAACTCAACCGCAGTTGTCGTTTATATATCTTGATTTCGCTCAACACCGGCCATCTTCCACATGAGCAGAGCGCGTATTCATTGGTAACAATTAATCGGTGCTGAAGAGGCTGAAACTAACTTAATGTTGCAGCGCGTCTCTCGGCGCCAAACCTGCACTACGCCGTTTTCACGGTTCTCCCAGGCAGCAGATTTCTCTTCTTCAGGCTTCCAGAGCGCAGACTGCCGCGAATCCGGGTGGACAGATACGGTACGCCTACAATTCAACCAGAGTAGCTGTAACTAACACCGTGGACAACTAGGAACGTGCCTCCACCAATCACGGGTCGCGCCGTCGTGAACACAAGAGAGACTGTCAAGACGATCCAGTGCGTCCGACCCTCGATGCCCCTTTCGAGGAAGAAGTCAGGCCTGTGAGTAGCAAATATCATAGATCACTTAATCGCCGGTTGTCTTACGGGTTCCTCCTGGCACAGAAACCCTATTACGTGAATGGGGTTGAGGATCAGACAACGGAGAAGTAGCCCATTGACCCGGACTCTGGTAAGGGAAGTTGTGTCTCGCGCCCGCTGGAAAAAGAAGTATACTTCGACGTTTGCATCTCGGGGTCAGCATGAGGAGTGACGGCGATCGGCCAATGGGCGACAACCCTGTTTCGGCGGCAGATCTCAGACCATTTTCGGACCTTCATTCTGAACCGTTGTTCAGAATGTCAGCCAATGATAACTATTTCGTGGAGCATGACTAATACTTGAACCAGAAGCCTATCTCTAAAAGCGGGGCATTCTTGATCCTCCTCATATCTTCCTTCGCCTTCACAAGTTGTATTTCATGATCACTGACCGCTCGTGAGAGGCATTACTCCCACCCTTGACAGTTCCTGCCTTCATCCGACCGTTCAAATCTTTCCTGGTCCTGACATTGTAATTATCAACATGATAAATAACATTAATGATGTTTCCACTGCGATTGAGATCTTGATTCGCTTTATACGTCTATATGACAAGGTGGTTGCAGAAAATTTCAGCCTTTTGCTGAATCCAATTACACGCGGCGATATTAATGGTGGATTACTGGTACTTAAGAGGCATTTGTGTCAAGCAACCGACCACGAGGAGACCACTAACGAAGAGACGGCCACCGAAGAGACTGCCAACGAAGAGACTGCCACCGAAGAGACGGCCACCGAAGAGAC